TATATATATAAATGATAAATTGATAAATATATTTATAATTACGATATAAATGAATGTATATATGTATGTAAATTTATTTTAATTATAAATCTCAGCTAAATATATATTCTTTTCTTCTGAAGGTTGAGGAGGATTGACGCTGTGGCCTCTGTGCTTTGGCTTCTGGTGATATGTTTTTACCTGGCAGAGTGTTACCTCAAGACGGACATCCCTGATTGGTTGGAAATGGTCAAGTTGGGCATCACTTCTGTGTGTTGTCTGGTGGGATTCGCTGCCTCTGTGGCAACACATAAATCCACGACTCAGAGAAGAGCCAGAGCTCACAGGTCAGAATCTGAGCAGTGACACTAAGATAAGTTGTCTGTCTGTGTCTGTGATCGAGGATACTTTTGGGACATTTAGAATCAAGGGTTTGATTTATTTTATTTTTTTCTCAGATTGGGATCATTTTCCTCCCAACTGTCTTCAATTTACACTAACTAACTAATGCACTCATTATAAACCTCCATGGCCAAGACACTTGCTAAATAGGCCTTTTAAACACCGTGCTGAAATATAAAAAATATAGTCTGTGTGGATGAGCTTGCTCAAAGTACTAGAAAAGGATTGTTTATTGCTTTTTTGTAGTATAGTGCTTGACATTACCACCGTGCCACTAATTTGACAAGGCAGAACATGTCAATTTTACATTTGGTTTGGAGCATGTTGAATTCACAGGTTTGGAGTAGCTTGTAAAGATACAGTCTAGTTCATGAGTAAATTATGTTTTTATGCATCTTGCGGTGTGTAAAAATATTTTTGCATTGAAATAGAAAATGCATTGTTCACCAAGAAATCATAATGGTGCTTAGGCAGCATAGAATTTAAACTTAAAATTTACAAAACATATTTAACTTAAACCGCCTAAAACTATACCCACTATATCAAACTGTAACAAAAATACTGTATTATGCCAATACTGCTCCAATCTCATATTTGCAATCTTATAACAAATGTGATATCAGTATTTAGTTGCTAACATACAAATATGTCCTTTTGTTATATTTTAGCTCAAAGTACTCAGCGTTCAGTTTTAAGGTTAAGCTACAGCTGAACACATTTGAGAGAATCTCCAAATATTTGTGCCTCTCTTTGTGTTTATTCTGAACCTCAAGTCTTTCTCCACCACCGGGTTGATTTTGTAATCATTACATCAGTAAAGAATTTATGCAATAATTTGTGTTTAAAGACACAGAAAATTAGCTAACTTTGCATAGCACTAGGGCTGGGCAAAAAAAAAATGATTTTCTGATTAATCGTTTTTTTTAGATGACGTCGATTCGATATCGATTCTCAAAAGCCGCGAATCGATCTTTTCCAGTATTTATTTCAGCACACATTTAAAACAAGATCTGATTAACGTGAATCTTATCATTAGTCTTCTCCACTAGGTGTCACCCTTATTTACCTTGTGCGATGTTACAACAGAAATCCTGTCATTCATTCAGCACTTATCATGGCCATACGCGTAAT